TGGGTCAGGTATGAAATTGGGCCCTATGCATTCTGCTTCGTTGGTGTTGACTCTTGCAGGTGTAACGTAACCGTTGTCGGCGAAGTGGTAAAATACTTCGGCGTTGGCGCTTTCGCGAGGATTTTCGTCATCCATTGGGACGTCGACAGAGCAGTAAGGGAGAGGTCCGGCTTCCTCCGAGGCTTCATCCACGTTCTGCTCATCCCAGTCAGCTTCGTCTGCTGCCATGGCGAAGGCTCGGTCACCATGGAAACCACCAGTGGGGTCCCGGTCTTCGTCCAGGTTGGCAAGGTACGTCGGAAGTGTGAGTCGCTCGTAGAAAATGACATCACGTGCTGCTACTGTTTCCTTTGAGTGGACGTAAAAAATCTTCCACGCGTTGTAATTTCTTTCGATGCCCAGGTGTAGTCCCCACTGTGCGCGTTGGGAGAATCGGCCGGCTCGTGCAGCTGAGGGTCGGTACTGTACCATGCAGCTGAAAACTCTTAGCATTTTTGTGCTGCCCTGTTTTCCTATCCACAGCAGGTGCGGTGATGCGTTGTTCGGGAGCGATGATGACGAGAGCAAGTTGTGCAGCATGACAGCGTGGTCCATTGCTTCGGGCCATTGGTGGTTGGGTAGCCGCATGCCACGTAGTAGCTTGCGCATGATGTTCTGGAGAGTCCTGTTCATCCGTTCTGCTACGCCTTGCTGTTGGTGAGCGTAGGGAAGGGAGATGAGCCGCTTGATCCCTCTTTCTGCCAAGTACTGCTTGAACCTCTGTGAGGTGTATTCTCCTCCTCCGTCTGACTGGAAGCTCTTTAGCTTCACGCCTGATTCTCGTTCTGCTACTGGGAGCCAGGCGACGAAGGCCCCGAAAGCCATGTCTTTGCTCGGAAGATTGAGGTGCCAAACGTAGCGTGTGGCGGCATCGATGAACGTGATGGTGTAGCTGTATGCTCCTTGTCTAGGTTCACGATTGTACAGGATGTCGCTGTACAATTTCTCGAGTGGTGCGTAAGCTGGTGCGCTAGGGTTATGGTGAGAAGCGAACGGCCGATGTGGTAAGTCGGCTTCGGGGCAGGTAAAGCACGTTCCGCGAGCTCGTCGAATTTCGCTTCCGTCGGTTAGAAGCAGTGAGTCTTTGTCGAGCACGCCTGCTCTGATTGTGTTATTAAACACCGTGTTGCTTGGATGTTCCATTCGTGCGTGCCAGATATCTTCGCCAGCTCGATGTCCGGGTGAGCGACGGTACAAGTCGGAGTTGGAGTAGAAGCTTGCGGTGAGGTTTGCGCTTCGATGTACTTCTCGTGGTGTTGGATTCAGTTGCTGCGCAGGAGTCGGTAGAGTGTCGTCGTCGATTGGGGCTGGTGCAGTTGAAGGACCCGCGATTGGTGCCGATGCTGTCTCTGCTGCTGCCGATGTTGTCTCTGTTGCTCCCGATGTTGTCTCTGCTGCTGCCGATGTTGTCTCTGCTGCTGCCGGTGTTGTCTCTGCTGCTGCCGATGTTGTCTCTACTGCTGCCGATTGAATTGTTGCTAATGCTCTTGTTCGTTCTGCCTCAGGGATGGTGTGCGAATACCAGAAACCTTCGGGGCTGAAGTCAGGATCGAGATCCGGTGGGTGCGTCCAGGAGGTGAAGGTGACGATTCCATCGCTGTCGGCGGTGCCTAGATCTGGAACGAAGTCAAGGACGAACACGTTGTTCTTCAGCACGGCCTTGCCGATGTAGAGGCCTCCTCTTCCGTGGTATAGCTTGAACTCCTGTGTTGTACTGTCTGCTTCGAGGTGGATACCTTTCGCCATCAGCTGACTGACACTTAGTAAGTTGTAGCCGAGTCCCTCCGCAATTAAAACCTTTGACATTTGTAGTATGACATTTGTCTCTCGTGACTGAAGTTGCACTACGCCTTGTCGTCGTGTATGCAGGTTCTGGTTGTTGGCGGCGGTGATGATGACTTCGCACTGAAGTTGGTGTTCGCGTTGAACGAAACGACCCGGAGAGCACATATGCTGTCCGCAGCAACTGTCCAAGAACCAAGTGTCTTTCCCGGATGGCTCGCTTTGAGCAATGGCTGCATACGTCGGGTTCGGTTGAAGTGACTCGCGACGAGGGGTACTGTTGTCGAGTCGCTCTTCCGGTGAGAAGTGTGGTGGTGACTCGGTGATGCAGGAGTCAGTCAATCTTGCCATGCAGCTGACGATGTTTCTTGCTCTTTGTGCAGATTGTGTTGACGATGTCGTTGAGGGCTGCAGTTGACTCGTGGAGTGTGCTTGTGTGGACGCCACTTGACTGCTTGAAGGACGAAGTTGGCGTTGCGGCGGCGTTGACTGCTGTCGATTCGGACAGTGTGTGCGAGGGTGCCCTGAAGTCTTGCAGAGATGACAGAACGGAGGTACGGGGTTTGGTTGATGCCGGTTGTTGTTGTTGTTGTTGTTGTAGCGCCGCTGAGTGTGAAACGCAAATTCGGGTACTGACGTTTTCTTCTTGTGCCGCTCCTCTTGCAGGTCCATGTCTTGCTGCTCAGCGTGAATTTTGGCGCATAGTGTTGCTTCGGAGATCTTCCCGTGAGCTCGGAGTATGGCGCGAGTGGAGCGCCAATGAGGACCAAGACCGCCAATGACAACTGTGACGAAGGCGTCTTCCGATATCGACCCTCCACATCGAAGGAGTTTGTCGCGCAATTCGCGACAGCGACTGATATACGCCATCCCCTTTTCGCCCGATTTCATTTCCACTGTTGTCAGTTGTGCCATTAACCGACTCTGATTGACGCTGTCTGTTGCCTGATACAGGTTCTTTAGGTGGTTGTACGCGAGCTCGGCGGAGTTCCCGTTTCCCCGGTAAGACCGAATGTTCTGCTGCTGGTTCGGTGTGACGTTGCGCAGTAGGATTGTGTACGCCATAATGGATTGATATGGCTTGTCGTATTGTGTCCCGTGCGTTGGATATGGCAGAGACCCGTCGAAGAAACCAAGAATCTGCGCGCCTTCCATCATCAGCTCGAATTCGAACGACCAGGTAAAGAAGTCTTTTCCGTCGAACGGTCTTGATGTCTGCAGTTTTAAGACGTGCGCAAACTGCGACTGGACTTGAAGTGCATCCAATGTCTTTTCTTGCTCAGGTGAAGGCTGCTGACGCGGCATGAAGCTGACGGAACCGCGCTGAGGTTCGTACGAGGCGAAGGTAGGTTGTTGTTGCTGATTTCCTCGCGCGTAAGATGAACCGTTGAGGCTCATCGGTGTCACGTTGTTGTTGTTGTTGCTGTTGTTTGACTGCGCAGGTGCCCCTTGCTGGTGTTGTTCGTAGAAGGACATGAAGGAGAAGAACTTCTCCATCATGTCTGGGTCGAAGCCCGCAGCTTGATTTGCGGGAGTTTCGGTAGACCCAGCTGCCGGTCTTGTTGCTGTGCCCTCCTCTGTCTGTAGGCCAGAGGCAGGAGGTGGAGTAGGAGTAGTACCGGGAGAGCCGTTAGAGGAGCTTCTCTCCTTCTGCGTTGCCATGCCTTATGATGTTGTAGGTGTCTTGATAGTAGTTGAGTTTGCCCTGATAGCTCTCATACCATGTTGGGCTGAGAAAAGCCCTTAGGATCTTTGCAGGACTAAACTCTGAGTAGGAACAATGTAATAGCGGAAGCGTTTAATGATAAGTCTGTGAACCACATTGCGCTGGTATGTGAGGGCAAAGTAGATTGATTAAAACAAAGAGATACAAACTTTTATAAGAGTACAAGGGAATATGAAGGGTTATAGCTAATAACTGTTTTGCTGTTGCTGTTGCGGTTTGATACAGTGACGACTCGGACAACTGTTCAATAACGAGTCAGTTGTTTGTCCTTGCTGTCGCGCTGTACTTGTCAGGTCAAAGGTCGCTGACCTTTGACTTTCGTGTAACCTCCAGCAGTTTTGTTCAACCTCCAAGGGTTGAATCGCCGATGCTTCACTGTGTTTCGCCTCGTTTACGACTTAATGCTTCGACACGACAGTGGCGCTTAAATTACTTGTTTCCAACAGGAACATGCCCTAAGACACGGTTGCTTCCATTTCAGCATAGATTCTCATTCCATGGTGCTTATTTTTTGTTCAATTGATTGTGAAAGCGAGCTAATGAGGTAAAACGTTTCAGATGGATAGCTAGAGTAGGGTTGCATCTTCCACCTTAGGAAGTTTGTGACATGCACTATAATAACTCATCAGACAAGTTGAAATATTAAACATTTATTACAGTTCACGCTTTTCGTGACTAGATGTTTCTTTCGTGATATAGCACACCTCCAATGCGAATGGCCTCAAGTTTCACATTCTCGAGCCGCACGGCGGCGGAAAACCTCGCAAAACTTTGACCATCGGAACTTGTGGCTTTCTCGTGGGCATATTGCTGTATGTGGACTACTGGTGTGGGTTTTAGGAAAACACTTTCCCGTCAACGGGAAAGCAGTACATGGTCAACGGTCAGTGGTGGTAACGACCCACAGGCCACGACAATAGACGGAAACCAAACAGAACACAAAGAGTTTCGGAAATGTTTAAAAACTGTGGCTGTGGTGGTAGTGTCCCAATTTGTCCCTACCGACTCCTACCGCGAGTGAGGAAAGGGTGATTTCTGAAAACAAAAGCAATTTTGTTTCCTTCGGTGCCACAACTTCAACATGACAGACAGTGGGGCGTGGCTCGTACAGAAGGTGTTTGTCAACGTCAAACATCACCCGGAAACCTCCCCACCGAGCAATGTCCACATGCGGTTTAGTGTGCGAGACACTCACCCACGCACACCGCACCGCCGCCCCCACAAACAAATTAACAGCAGAATGCTCCTCTATTATGCCCCCCATGCAGTCCCATCAGAGTTGTATGTTCACACAGCTTCCCCCATTGTTCACTTCTGCTGCGAGCCGCGCGCAATGGCTCCTCACCAGACCTTCCCTCGCCTCTGCTATCACGCCGTTCTGCTGCTCGCGCTTTTACTGCTGTTAGCTCCGCCGCGAGGAACGAATGCGGCGTCGCGCGTCGTGATTGCGCCGATGCGCGGGTCGAACGACCGCCTGGAGGTGTTCAAGCTGTCGGAGAACCTCTGGTTCGCCGGAACCGCGCAGCTACCGCCGTTTGAAGACGCTGGAAACGGTGGGAAAAGCGAAGGAGATAACAGCGGCGGAGATAAAAGCGGCGGAGATAACAGCGGCGGAGATAACAGCGGCGGAGATAAAAGCGGCGGAGATAACAGCGGCGGAGATAACAGCGGCGGAGATAACAGCGGCGGAGATAACAGCGGAAACAACGGCAACAGCACCGGTAATGACAACAGCGGAAGCGATTCGAGCGCGGGGTTCGCGGATGATCCGCGCGACTCGATGGAGTCGCGCAAGGAGGAGCTGCTTGCGCGGCTCCGCGGCGGCGGAATGGAAGCCGCAAACGCCGACTCCAGGAGCTCCGCGTCTGCGTCCGCAGCCCCAGCGAGCGCGCCGGCTCCCGCTGTGGATCCGCTGGAGCAACAGACGGTAGGCTCGCGACTCCGAGTCGGATGCTAAGGTTCCGTCACTGGGTGCGATTTTCGGACTGTATATACCTCAGTCACTGAGATATGGTGTCTCAGTCACTAAAGAACGGTTCTTTACCTTCCACACTACAGTTACTTTTATTACAGTCACCCCTGCCAAACCTGTCAATCTCTGTAGCATTCGCGTGGCCGAAAGCATGTGTTGTGCAGTTCTCTTTTAAGCCACATGCCTCCCACAATGGGCAAAGTTGTTAAGGTTTTCTTTCGTCCCGCGTTCCCCAAAACAGGAGCAACGAGTGGCGGAGGTGGGGGAGTTCTCCGCGCGCACGACGGAGCTGAAACCAGTGGTGAAGCGGAAACCGGCGGTTGGGTTTCCCGGGATCAACGAGTACAGCGGAGTAATGAGCGGTACACCACCTAAATACAACAATACAGTTGTAAGAAACGTGTTTGAGTATACAGTGCGGATTTTGGACGTGCATGAACACTAAATATGCTCCTTGTTACGTTTCAGGTCCGTGTGAGCCCTCCTGACGTCGCTCTGTGTGTGGGCAATGGATACATCCTTCACACTGTCAATGTTGGTAAGCCATTCTTTCACCTGCTTCCTCTTGCATTCACTGCCGCGCTGCTCCATTCCTTTCAACCACTTTCACCCCCCACACCCACTTCCTCTTCCCCCACAACCACTCCCTCTTCCCCCACACCCACTCCCTCTTCCCCCACACCCACTCCCTCTTCCCCCACACCCACTCCCTCTTCCCCCACACCCACTCCCTCTTCCCCCACACCCACTCCCTCTCCTCCCCTCCTCTTATCCCCATTGGCAGCGATGGTTGTGTATGACAAGCAAGGGAAGCAGCTCACTCGCATCATCCCACACAACGAGGCAAGAGCTTGAGCAATCATAGTAATCGCTATCTTTTAAGGCGTGAGTGCAGACATGTGCACATCCTCTTGCACCTCCACATTCCCAGTCAGAGATACTATCATTTCTGTCTCCCCACTCTCTTCCCTCCTTTCACCCGTTCCCACCATCGACGTCAGAACCGTGCTGCTTTCCAGTCTCCCTCCCACCCCCTCTCCTTCCCCTCTCTCAGCCTCTCCTCTCCCCCGGCCCAGCACCAAATTCTCCACTCCTTGCTGTCAGTTCGTCAACGTACCATCCATACCATTCCACGGTGGTCCGCCAACAAGGTAACACATTCCCACCAATCCCACCATTTCATCATCCTCCCTCCTTCCCCAATCCCCTCGCCAGTTCGTCGCGGTTCTACCAGCGGTGGTGCTGAGAGGAGGGAGCCGTTGAACGCATCAGTGGTCCAACTAATAAGCTGACGCCATCCCACCACCATCCCACAATCCCACCATTCGCCCCGTCTTTCACGACCCTCACGCCAGTTCTTCAGGGTGCTGCCGCCAGTGGTGGAGTGGAGGGGACCTGTTCAACACATCAGTAGTCCAAGTAGCAGACTGACGCCATTCCACCATCCCACCATTCCACCATCCCACCATTCCACCATCCCACCATTCCACCATCCCACCATTCCACCATTCCACCATCCCACCATTCCACCATCCCACCATTCCACCATCCCACCATCCCACCATTCCACCATCCCACCATTCCACCATCCCACCATTCCACCATCCCACCATTCCACCATCCCACCATTCCACCATCCCACCATTCCACCATTCCACCATCCCACCATTCCACCATCCCACCATTCCACCATGCCACATTACCCATCCGCCGCTCTGTCCACACACCCCACGCCAGTTCTTCGGGGTACTCCCATCAGTGGTGGAGACGAGGGACCCGCTCAGCACACATCAGTATTTTTTTTTGTCGACTCAAAAGCCTCCATCCGCCGCTCCGTCCACACTCCCCACGCCAGTTCTTCGGGGTACTGCCATCAGTGGTGGAGCTTAGGAACCCGTTGAACACATCAGTGTTTGGAGACAACATCGGTGACATGACCTGCACATATGACCCGCGCGCCAGGCGCTTCTATCTCTCCACCTACTGGACTGTGAGTGGATGGGTGTGGGGGGTGGAGAGTGTGGTGCTGCTGGGTGCTGCTGGGTGCTGCTGGGTGCTTCTACCTCTCCACCTACTGGACTCTGAGTGCTGAGCCGTGCCTCAATTCCCCCTCACTTCCTTGCCTCAATTCCCCATCCCTCAATTCCTCTCTCACTTGATTCCTCTCTCCGTTGCTTCCTCCCTTTCTTGATTCCTCTTTTTGTCCTGTCTCCTCCCTACCGCACCACCCGCCCCCCTCGTCTCCTCGTCCTCCCTCTCGTTTTCCTCCGTCATTCTCTTCCCGTTTTCCTCACCCCTTCTCTTCCTTCTCATTGACCTTCCTTCGACCATACTCTCCACATGCCCTCCTTCGCATTCCCACATCTCCTCACGTGCAGTCAGGGGGTGGCAACAACACGTATGACAAGTTTGGGCAGACGAGGAGGCGAGGCAACACAACAGTGGGCTCGGGGCTGATAGTGGCAGCATCAACCACCGACGACCCCACCCGGGACTGGAATGTCTTCTTCATTCCCGGCTCGTACGCTCGCCTCTTTTTTTCACCTTAATTCTCTCACGGTTTCTCACATTCCTCTCTTTTTTCTCACCCTTTGCACCGTCTTTTTTTCTCGCCTAGTCACAGTTTTCCACCCCTTTCTCACCCCCTTCTCACCCTTTCCTCACCTTGACTCGCTTCGTTTCACTCTCCACTGTCATCCGCTGCTCTCCTCGTGCGCCTCTTTTGAGGCGCCTAAAAAAAAACTCCTCGTGCGCCTCCCTGCAACAGCAGCCCCATTCCCCAATCGGCCAGATTCCGTGTCCTGTCCTTCTCTCCTTCCTCCCCATCTCCCCTTCTTCTCTACGCCTCCCTAACTTCCTCTTCTCCTTCCTCCCCATCTCCCCTTCTTCTCTACGCCTCCCTAACTTCCTCTTCTCCTTCCTCCCCATCTCCCCTTCTTCTCTACGCCTCCCTAACTTCCTCTTCTCCTTCCTCCCCATCTCCCCTTCTTCTCTACGCCTCCCTAACTTCCTCTTCTCCTTCCTCCCCATCTCCCCTTCTTCTCTACGCCTCCCTAACTTCCTCTTCTCCTTCCTCCCCATCTCCCCTTCTTCTCTACGCCTCCCTAACTTCCTCTTCTCCTTCCTCCCCATCTCCCCTTCTTCTCTACGCCTCCCTAACTTCCTCTTCTCCTTCCTCCCCATCTCCCCTTCTTCTCTACGCCTCCCTAACTTCCTCTTCTCCTTCCTCCCCATCTCCCCTTCTTCTCTACGCCTCCCTAACTTCCTCTTCTCCTTCCTCCCCATCTCCCCTTCTTCTCTACGCCTCCCTAACTTCCTCTTCTCCTTCCTCCCCATCTCCCCTTCTTCTCTATGTTAAAATATATATTGTGTAGCATGCCAACACATGTGACTGTACACCAATTGTGGTGTACAGTTGGGTTGGGACTACACCCAACTTTGGGTGTAGTCTTGCACTTTGGGGTGCCAATCCACCCAATTGTGGTGGAGCCCCCAAATGCAACCCTCTTGACTTGTGGGTACCTCACTTCCCACAATTGAGGTTACCCCAAGCCAAGTGGGCCTAGGGTTGCCTCACTTCTACAAAGTGTGGGAAACCCAACCCACTTGACCTATGGTTCCCTCACTTCCCCAAGTGAGGTCAACCCAACCTATGGTCACGTTCATCCTTCCCTTCCAACCTTCCCTTCCAACTATGTATGCTAGGTTGTTCCTCTAATCTGATGACTTGTTCAATTTGCTACTTTCACATGGTATAGAGCTACTTGTTCCTAGGCCTTACCTCTCCCTCCCTTCAGTTTTTTTTTTCCCATGGGCCCACCCCACAGCTACAAACCCTTTCCTACGCGTGGCTCAACTAGCCATCACTAACATACTCTCGCCGCGACCTACGCCGTCGCCGCCGTTCCCCCCCCCTCCCGCCGCGATTACGCCTTCCTCGCCTGCGGATTCCACCGCCGCGAGCGCAACGCCGCTGTCCCCTCCTCCCCCCCGCCGCGACCCCCTGTCGCCGCCTCCCCTTCTCGCCGCCGCGCCTGATTCGGCGCCGCCTGCGCATCCTGCCGCCGCGACGCCTCGTCGCCGCCTGCCCGCTGCCCGTCCCTCCGCCGCGACGTCACGTCGCCGCGTTCCCGCCGCCGCGCCTGCTACGGCGCCGCCTGCGCATCCTGCCGCCGCGACGCCTCGTCGCCGCCTGCCCGTCCCTCCGCCGCGACGTCTCGTCGCCGCGTTCCCGCCGCCGCGCCTGCTTCGGCGCCGCCTGCGCATCCTGCCGCCGCGACGCCTCGTCACCGCCTGCCCGTCCCTCCGCCGCGACGTCTCGTCGCCGCGTTCCCGCCGCCGCGCCTGCTACGGCGCCGCCTGCGCATCCTGCCGCCGCGACACCTCGTCGCCGCCTGCCCGTCCCTCCGCCGCGACGTCTCGTCGCCGCGTTCCCGCCGCCGCGCCTGCTTCGGCGCCGCCTGCGCATCCCGCCGCCGCGACGCCTCGTCGCCGCCTGCCCGTCCCTCCGCCGCGACGTCACGTCGCCGCCTCCCCTTCCCGCCGCCGCGCCTGCTTCGGCGCCGTCTGCCCGTCCCGCCGCCGCGACAGCTCGTCGCCCCCTGCCCGTCCCGCCGCCGCGACCTAACATCGCCGCCTGCGCATTCCGCCGCCGCGACTGCTCGTCGTCACCTCCCCGCCCCCACCCCCCCCCCCCCCCCCCCCCCCCCCCCCCCGCCGCGATTTCGCATTGCCGCCTCCCCTCCCACCGCCGCACCTGCTTCCGCGTCACCCACGCATCTCGCTGCCCCTTCTGCATCGCCACCCTCCCGCAATTTCCCCCGCCGCAACTGCAACATCGTCGCCCCGCGGTTCCCGTTAACGCCACTGCGCCGCCGCCGCCCTACCGCCGCGACTGCTTCGGCGCCGTCTGCCCATCCTCCACCGCGACCGCGCCATCCCCGCCCACACTTCCTGCCGCCGTGACTGCCCCGTCGCCGCCTGCAGATTCAGCCCCAACTGCACCCTCCCTTCCTCCTCTCCCTACTCATCTCCCCCCCCCTCCCCCTCCCCCTGCGCCCCTCGTTGCCGCGGCCTGCCTGCCGCCGCCGTCCCTCGTTTCGCCACCGCGGCCCTTCCGCCGTCGCCTGCGCCCCTCGTCGTCGCGGCCTGCTCGCCGCCGCCGCCCCCGACTTTGCCACCGCCTCCCCTTCCCGCCGCCGCACGTTCGCACAGCCGCCTGCGCCCTTGTCACCGTCGCTCCCTGCACCTTGAACGCCTCTGCCCTCCACCGCTGTCTCCCTCCTTTACCCCCCCCCCCCCCCCCCCTCCCTCCTCCTGCCAGCGGCAGCAGCAGCGGCAGCAGGGGAAGTGCAGCAGCCTCCGCAGCAGCAACTTCACCCTTGGCCGCCGCGGGTCCACCCGCCGTCGCCCATCATGACTGCTACCCCCCCTGCCCCTCTCCCCCCTCCTCACTGGAGCAGTGTTACTCCTCGCCCCTCCCTTCTCAACACTCCGACCCTCCACTCCTCCCCCCCCCCTTATCTCCGCCTGCTCACCCCCTCCCCCCCTCCCCATCTGCGGCGTTTCCAGCAGCTCCAGCATCAGCAGCAGCAGGACTTCCAGCAGCGGCAGCAACCACAATTTCTCCAGCCGCACCCCCCACATCTCCTCCAGCCGCGGCAATCGCAGCAGCAGCAGTTCTTCCAACACCAACAGCAGCCGCAATCTCTCCAGCCTCACCCGCCACAGTTTCTCCATCCCCAGCAGCAGCAGTCCTTCCAGCCGCAGCAGCGGCAGTCCTTCCAGCAGCAGCAGCTGCCACAGTTCCTTCCACCGCAGCAGCAGCAGTCCTTCCTGCAGCAGCAGCAGCCACAGTCTCTTCAGCCGCAGCAGCAGCAGTGCTTCCAGCAGCAGCAGCTGCCACAGTTCCTTCCGCCGCAGCAGCAGCAGTCCTTCCAGCAGCAGCGGCAGCCACAGTTTCTTCAGCCGCAGCAGCAGCAGTGCTTCCAGCAGCAGCACCAGCCACAGTTCTCTCCATCCGCAGCAGCAGCAGTGCTTCCAGCAGCAGCAGCCACCACAATCTCTCCAGCCGCAGCAACCGCGGCAGCATTGGCGGTGCTTCCAGCAGCAGCAGCAGCCCAATCTCTCCAGCCGCAACCGTCACAGTCTCTCCCACCGCAGCAGCCGCAGCAGCAACAGTACTTACAGCAGCAGCACCCGCCGCTCTCTCCCTCTTCTATCCATGAAACAACTCTCCAGTACTCTGTGTTCCCTCCCTCTCCTTCCCCCCCCACCCTGGACTTTGTCCTTGACAGTGGGGCCACCGAAACCGCACTAAAAGACGCTGGCACCCTCACCCCCCTTCCACTTCCCACCCAGGTTCATGGTGCCGACTCCAGCTTTTCCATCCCCTGCACTCACCTCTCCACCCTTCCTTGCACCGCCTTCCCATCCGGTACAGTCACCGGTCTCCACATCCCTACCCTTCGCAATAACCTCCTCTCCCACCGTGAACTCCAAGGCGTTGGCATTACCGCCATTTACCCTGGCTTTGCTTCCTACTGCGATCTCTACCACACCGCCTCTGGTCGTTTCCTCCTGCGCATTCCCCTTTGCCCTCGCACTCGCCTTTACACGCTCCGCACACCCCGTCCCTCCTTTTGTCACGTCACCACTCGTGCTGGTACTTCCACCGGTCCCCTTCTCCCTCCCCCTCACCCTCCCCCTCCCCCTCCCCCTCCTCCGATATCCTCCTCCTCTACTCCATCCGCCTCCTCCTCCCCCCCCAACTTTTCCCCCACCCCATCCCCCTCCTCCTCTACTGCCCTCTCCCATCCTGCAGTGCTCCTACATCACAGACTCGGCCATCCCAACTTCGCCGCACTTCGCTCCACCGTCACCTCTCGCCTCCTTAACAGCCTTCCTCCCACCTTACCTCCCCTCCCCTCCTCCCCTGCTCCCCCATGCCCATCATGCATTCATGGCAAGCTCAAACAGTCCCCCCATCACAGTCATCCCACCTTCGCTCCCGCCCCCATTGACCTTGTTCACATGGATCTCTGGGGCCCTTATCCCATCCGCTCCCGTCAGGGGCACAGGTACATGCTCGTGCTCGTCGACGACCACAGTCGGTACTCCACCGTCTTCTTTCTTCACACGAAAGACCAGGTGCCGGCTGTGGTCATCAACTGGGCTGAGCAGTGCCGCAACCACTTCAAACGTCCCATAGGCCGCCTTCACTCTGACGGTGGGGGTGAGTTCATCAATCATACTCTCTCCACTTACTGCAAATCATACGGCATTCAGCAGACCACCACCCTTCCCCACTCCCCTCAGCAAAACGGCATCGCTGAGAGTCGCATCCGTGAGATCACCAAGATTGCGCGCTGCCTCATTGCTCACGCCTCCACGCTATGCCCTCATTCATGCCGCCCTCCTCCTCAATCTCCGCTCCCACCCTCAGCATCCCTCCTCCTCCCCCACAGAACTCTGGTCCAAGGCCAAGCCTGACGCCGCAGGCCTTCGTGTTTGGGGCTGCAAGGCGTTCGTCCTCATTCCACCGGCCGACCGCTCCCGCGCTGCTGGCAAGCTCGCTCCTCGCGCTCTGGAGTGCGTCTACCTTGGGCACAATCGTGATTCCCCAGGCTACCTATTCCTCCACCCTCCCACCAATCGCCTCATCCGCAGCATTGACGTCGTCTTCGACGAGTCCACTCCCTACTACTCCACCCCTCCTCCTGACCCCCTCCCTCCTCCCACTCGCCCCCTCGCTTGGACCGACACCATCCTCCCGCCTCTTATCCCTCCAGCGCCTCTCCTCCCACCTGTCGCCGCCCCACTCCCGCCTTCCTCCTCTGCCGACGTCTACGACCCTGCCGCACCCGCCTCCCCCGCTCACTCAGCTGCACCCCCTCCCCCCTCTCCCTCCTCCTCTCATTCTCCTCCTTTCCAGCAGCCGGATCAGCAACAGCAGGGGCAGCAGCAGCAGCAGCAGCAGCCGGATCAGCAACAGCAGGGGCAGCAGCAGCACCAGCAGCAGCAGCAGCAGCAGCAGCAGCAGCGGGAGCAACACCAGCAACGGCAGCAGGGGCAGCAGCAGCAGCAGCCGGGGCAGCAGCAGCAGCAGCAGCAGCAGCAGCAGCAGCCGGAGCAGCAGCAGCAGCAGCAGCAGCCGGGGCAGCCGCATCAGCAGCAGCCGGGACAGCAGCAGCAGCAGCAGCATCAGCAGCAGCAGCACCAGCAGCAGCAGCGGCGCCGTGCCACTTCCCGCTCCTCCCCCTTCCTCCTCCCTTACATCCATACCCGCTCGGTGGACAAAATCCTTGGGGCTCCTCCTCCTGCCTCCATTCAGCTCCTTGAGGACTCCCATGAGGAGTTCCTCAACATTCGGGAGCACACTCCATTCCTTGCCGCCCTCTACCTTGACTTCCTGGGCTTTCCTGTCCTTGGCGCCACTACTACCCCCACCATCTTCACTCCCTCCACCTTCCAGGAAGCCATCACCTGCCCTGATGCGGATAAATGGATAGCAGCGATCTTCCTGGAGTGTGAGGCCTTCATTCGCAATGACTCCTTTGTCGATGTCCCCCTCCCTGCTGGCGCTAATCTCGTTGACGGCAAATGGGTCTTTCGGGTGAAGCAGCTGCCGGGCGAGGAACCAGTGTACAAGGTCCGCTACTGCACCAAGGGGTTCACGCAGACTTGGGCTGAGGACTACTGGTTCACCTACGCCCCCACCGCCAAACCACCCACCCTTCGCGCCGCCATGGACATTGGTGCACGTGACGACATGGAAATCGACTCCATGGACGTCTCCAATGCGTTCCTGCAGGGCGACCTGCATGAGCGCATTTTCCTCCGGCGACCCCCCGGGTTCCACGCAGCCTTTCCTGAGAACACTGTCTGGCAGCTGCGTCGCCCCGTCTACGGCTTGAAGCAGGCACCACGTGAGTGGCATGCGAAGCTGACTGCCACCTTGGGGTCCCTCGGCTTCTCTGCTTCCCACTCCGACGCCAGCCTCTTCATCCGCTCCTCCCCCCGCCGCTTCTTCATTCTGGTATATGTCGACGACATGATCCTGCTCTCTGACACCAAGGCCGACATGGAGCAGGTGAATCTGTCCCTGCAGCAGCGGCTCAAGTGCAAGGACCTTGGCGCCCTCACTAACTACCTCGGCATGACCATCACGCGCAACCGCCCTGCTCGCACAATCACCCTCTCCCAGTCCCATTACATCGGCCAGGTCTTGGAGAAGTTCGACATGGCGCAAGCCAAGCCTGTTTCCACCCCGCTCCCCTTCGGTCACCAACTCGCTCCACCCACCTCCCCCACCTCCTCCCCCCACCCCTATGCCGAGCTCGTTGGGTCCTTGTTGTACGCAATGATGTGCACCCGCCCCGACCTCGCCTACCCCATCAGCGTGCTCGCTCGCTTTGTCGGCACCGGTCGTCACTCTGAGGAGCACTGGAAAGCTGCCAAGCGGGTCCTTCGCTACCTTCGCGGGACCAGGGACCTTGCCCTCACCCTCGGCGGCCCTTCCCGTCCCCTTCTCTCGGGCTTCAGTGACTCCTCATGGGCTGACACGCAGCCGGACCGCCGCTCCTCCCAGGGCTACGGCTTCACCCTTGGCAGCGGCCTCATCAGCTG